TCAGCCTAGGGAAGTTGATATTCACTCCAAAACTGAGGCTTACCCAAAAGATGTCATAGACAAAGAGGCCCGCCAAGAGGATGAAAGCTACTGAGAACTTATGGAGGGATACGAGACGGATCGCTTGAATGCAGAAGGAGACACCTAAAGGCCGCTTGTCGGGGAAGTAGGGGAACACCACGGAGCTACCGAACATGTTGTGGATGGTGAACTGTTTGTTCCAAGCAAAGACGCCTCCAAGGACCGCCGACACACCATAGACGAGGATCTTGAGAGTAAGATTAGCAATATAGGGAGGGAAGAGACTTTACGTGAGAGTATCCGAATTTAATGTCAACATTGGGATCTTCGTCTGGCTTCTCCGCAAAAACCTTCATAAGTAAAGTTGGCATCGTAAAGCGAATATGGAATCTGTGGAAGAAGGCAGACGTTGTGTTGGGAATACTGACGATAGAGAGAGCACGTGAATGGTGATAATTCAGTGCTGATATCCTGCCAGTGATAATGTAGTATATACAACGTAGACGATTATTGTCGAGTTCTGCTAGTGATATTCCGAAATTCTTTAGACCAAGGGTCAAGTAAAGGTTATGTTGGAGTACCGAGAGAAGATTAGTGATAGGTGGTCATCAACATACCTGTTGTGAGTGAGGTCTTCAGAGAGGCAGCTATCAACGAGAGGCTTCACGGTCTCAGCCAAGGCACCAACACCTAATATACAGTATTCAACAGCAGTAGTAGTCGGCCCGGTGGGACTACCTAGCATGCCAAGATAGCCGGTGAGGAGTAGATTCATGAGATAGGGGGATACCAACTTATAAGCTAAATACCTACCGCCACCACAATTGCTCATCTCACGGTGATGCTGAATGATGCAATGACGACGAGGGAGGGACTTACAAGCTGAGTAAAGCTATACTGCCAAAAACAGGGAACATCATAGCATCCTTCTGTGAGACCGAATCCATGTCCTCCTTCTTACCATCAGCATCTATAAGAGCAAGAGTCGTAGACTAAGAGTTGCTGATATTACTTGTATTGTTGAGTTTGAGGCTTTGGTGGCATGCAATGCACATGATGGGAGCCGTATACCTATGAGACCATATATTCAACATGATCGATCGGCTGCAACCCCTACAGTAGCATCTGCGGATTGACCGGTATGATAACGAAGTTGGTGACCACAAAGAGAAGTCCCAATATAGCGTATGATGCCTTATAGGCGATCCCCATTGGGGACTTCATCGTGACAGGGGCAGCACCAGAACCAGCAGCAGCAACCGAGGCTTCCGAAGACATATAGTTCGGTAATACAGCTGAATACGGATGACCAGGAGTAAGCCTCTTGCTACACCTCATGGCCCATCTGGCATCATGCCAGTTAACAAATCTTAACTCATGATTCGGTATTAGATTCATAGCAGAAGTTAAGTATAATTATTTTTGTCTGGATGCGCACTGAGTAGTGTTGTACGTGTGATAGCTGGTAATAATAATTCCTGTCGTCCTCCTCCTCCTTCTCCTCATGAGGGCCCATCAACAACCACCATAAGCAGATCATAGCCCCTCCCCGCTCCCATCACAACATACTTGGAGGAAACCTTCATTTCAGATTTAATCAATTGGTTGCAATTCTAATTTCCATCATTCATCATGTTGCAAAGGTCGGGAGACTAACGACTCGACTTAGGCCTCCCTTTGGGGGCGCACTCCGGGACAGCCTAGTCGACCGCCTTGGAGCTGCTGTCATCACATCAGCAACTTCTAAACAAAAATATGAACCTCACATAAACCTCAGAGTCGACTCCATCTACCTCTGTAACCCCCGACAGCTCTCCTCCGTCTCCTTTGACGATGCTTACCCGGTGTGACTGTCACACCGGGTATGATAGGTGCATCACATTCGGGTGATGGACTCCGTCGCCGCCGCTGCTGGCCGCCGCCGCCCCCCAGTGGTGAGCCATCAAAGTACGTCCTTCTACTGCCTTGAAATGTCGGGGAAAGGTCGACATCACGTGGAGGGTCAGCGTCACATAGTGTCATGATTTGGGGTGCTGGTTGGAAGGTAGTCCTTGACGTAGTCACGACGACCGGGCATAAGACCAGGGGTCTGCGTATACGGTCATCCTCAGCTGTTTTGTGGATGGAAGGTCTAGTGGGTGGTGACGGGACAATGCTTGTGTTGGGAGGTGTCACCGGTGGTGATGACCGTGTTGGAGAACCTTTTACTCGTTTGCTCGCCTCCCTTGATGAGCCTATAGGTTGGATGAATTCCTATTCCTCGCCGCCATACAAGACCACTACCTAAGGTCCTCTTGCTACAGGTCAATGCTGCTAATATAGAGGTCGGTGTCCATCCCCCAACACTACCTAGAAGGACCTCCCTATTCAGCAGGCACCCTCGGCGGCCCACCTTGGTCTGTTGGTGTTAGGAGGTCCCTACAGTCCACCCAAATGACCTTATCCGTCAATGATAGCTGCCTCAGAGTATGACAGATATTCCGTAGACTCCCAGCCTATCGTAGCACACCGTCACCATCGTGAAGCCACTGAGGTTGCCCTTACATGGACCTTAGGGCCAACAAGAACATGTGTGACCTCCGACCACTGCTCTGCTTCCATATAGTTGATGCCATATACATATCCTCCAGTACCCCTCACAATGCCAAAGACCATCCCTGGGATCCCCGACCCTACTACTATAATGATACATGATGATCACGACTACGAGAGCTCACCAACTACGGTGTATTTGGCCCTCGTTAGGTCCAGACCCTGGCCATTGAAGGCATTGCTACATAATGCATCAATGTAGTCGTCAAGAGGGACGTGATCCTGTAGGGGTGGCATGTCGTAGAGTGATCGATACCTCACAAAGGGGGGGGGGGGGTGATGATACTAGAGGCCATGCAGGTGGTCATACTTTTTCCGGGGTGGTCGATGGGCAACTCCTGGGGAGTCCAACTGCTCTAGGAAGGACACTACTCGAGGGAACTCGTGAATGGTCACCTCTTCTAAAGCCAAATTAGAATACGAATAAATAGTCTAATAGTCAACTACTGCAAAACCTAATGCTTCGGTATCGGGTTCGATCCTCGGTGTCGGCATTTAATGAGCGTATACTTGTGACTGTACCACCACTCTCACACCCTACTCTTGCTGGCAGCTCATCGACTCTATCAATCTGATACACACATCATTTACTCTACCAGTCCATACTCTTGCTATTACTTGAATCATCGAAGGCCCCATCTTCCTCCTAGGAGCCTGTCTACACCCCAATAGATGCATCTTAACTCCTCCACTACTAGTGTCCATCCCAACACACAATACTCCACATAATGGGCAGTGATAGTGACCACTGCTACATGCATCCACTCCCACCACCGAGGTCGGCGGCGCCGCCTTAGCAGGTCCCTCTGGAGTCTTCAGGCCAATACGACTCTCTCTTCGAGAAGACCGTGATGAGGACTTGGTCGGAAGATTCCAACCTGACCATCACAGAGATAGCCTACAGCTTCCTAATGCCCCCAGGAGTACATTCTGTTCGATAGCAATAATGGAGGATATACGCTGGGTTGTCCAATACGACAACTCTAAGGAGGTCATTGCAGTGATGGTCATCTTGTATATGGTGGTAGAGGCAACCTAAGGCTCGAATGATGATGGTGATTGAAGTAGTGAGGACCGCCGACTCCAGGCTGTGTCGTCATGCTGCTCAGTCTTGACGATTCTCAACTCGCATAAGGGACAAGCCAATGTGACGATCGTGGGATCGTCGACTTGGACAGCAGCTGGAGGACGGAGTAGCAGCCGAGCATGATCGGTGATAGGAGGAGGTGGAGAGGGCGTCATGTTTCCAGAGGAGGGAGGCCATGCTGACTCCACTACTACGGGCCATAATCTGTGTGGTAAATTGGCGAACTGGACCTGCGACGAGCGCGTCAGTTCTTCAATCAAACGACCCAGGTTCAATTTCTCGCTACCCCATTACCGATTTATGAAGTGCCTTAACAGCCTGTACAGTCGGGAGAGCCTCATCCCCTCGCCGAGCACTCATCCCTCCAGAAGTAGCCGTTGGGGTACGACGTCTACCCACAGGCAATATCGCTGAGGTTGATGCCGACCTGGACAAGGGACGCCCCTTCGAGGGCACAGCCTAAACCTATCGAATTGACCCCACACCCTTGCATAGTAATAAATCACCTGTAAGAGCTTCGGTGGGGTTTCCTTTGGATAGGCAATATCATCATCATCATCGAGTTGGTTAAGATCATTAACAAGAGAGGACATCATGTCACCAACCTCCTCTGGCCATTCCCTCAGGACTGCATCCTCATCTTCCTCTTCAATACATGGGTACAGTCTAGTGCCTCTCGTCGGAGGGGACGCAACAACCAATGACACCATTGTATACAACCATGTAGGCAACAACCTACTTCAATGGAGAAGATCTTACATCAATAACCAGGATTATCGCGCGCGCCATGATAATCGATTATTGTTGATATCTTTGATACTTTCTTTTTAGCAACTTGGCCCAAGGCAAAGGTTTTCCCTCGTCGGCACTTCGAGGTCCTCAAACTTCGATACTGCCGTTGCTGCTACTACTAGAGCTCGTTTCGTAGCCTTCAACTACCCTTATCATGCCACTCCTTCATTTCATCACTAACATGCTTTAGTAGTGCTCCGACATCTCCCCAACCGTATGCGTTTCTCGAGTGTACTTTCTTTTCGGCATTTGACTGTGGACGGGCGCTCCGCATCCGTACAAGCAGATCTACGGCCTATTCCAATGAGTGTTAAGAATCCTGTATATCGCGTCTGGAACAGTGATTTTCAGCGCAAACGATTTACTGTGTTTCAACCTGAGAAATGGTGTAGCATATGGTATCTCATTCTGTTGTCATTTCCATTTTGAACATCATTTGTTTTAAGTCGTCCGATTAAGCAAGATCATGAAAATACGACTACTCCCATAATAAAGCGATAT